GGCAATGGCTGAAGCCCTATGTTCCTCTAGGAATTTAAGGATATAATAATAAAACAATTATTATTATCTTATTCTATTTGACCACGTTAAATGACTCACTTCATTTACAGACCACAAATCACCTATCAAAATTTACCGACCACAACTATCAAGAGTCTACCAAATATACGGACGACATTCAGGATCGGGACTCCTAATCCGCCATTAAAAGCTTGAATACTACATATCAGGTCTCAAATAAATTGCAAATGAGCTAACTTAGAATAATTGCAGCAAATAAACTATTCTTAAAAACACTGAAGCCTTCTGAAAAATATATGATACCATTTACTTGGTTTCGGTTTGATTCTTACCTATAACAACCCTTCGCAGATACGAAAACATTCATGTGGAAAGCAGAACTATATGATAATTGTATTCACGTTCATTTCAATAACGTAGGGTAGCTCACAAGAATATGACATATTTGAGTAGTAGCCGCTTTTTAGACACTCCTGCATTTAAGATAGTTATCCTATTTCATGCACAAACACAATCCTCAATAATAATTCAAAACCGAGTAACCCTCACTTCGATTTCCCCTGATCACAGTTTGAAGTAATAAATTGAACCATTTCATTTGTTTGTATGAGTGGCTTCAGAAGGTGCCGATATCGAGTGTAGTTTCACTACTGGATCAACAAAGATGAAGGCGGAAGATGGGACTAACAGCAAGTTAGATATGACCCTTGGTGAGTAAGGTTTTTGTCTCCGGTCTAATTTTCAAGGATGATGGATATCCTGGAGTACTTGAGATTTAGCCTGAAGATTGCGTGAAACTTTAGGTGCATGACACATTGGGGTGTATTTCCCAAAGTTATTAGTGTCTTCAGTGTACCATTGGTTTATTTACGGTGCTATACGCATATTACGTTGTGCTGTTAACTTTTTCTCCGAACAGTGTATTGTCGTGCAGATGCAAAAACTTATAAAGGCGTTTACTGAAGGATTGGTGACATCACTCCTACCAGCTAGTCCCAGTAAACCGTTGTATTGTGAAACCTGGATCCCAAGCTTAGTTCGTACTACTGCATGATCTTAATTCTTTTCAAGCTTATAAACATGAAGTAAATAGGAAAATATAACTCGATTTGATGTGCTTCAAAATAGGGTCTACTAATGACATGACACGATATTTCTAAGCGCCATTGAGAACTGTGTTCAGCCATATTTCCAGTAGTTTACATCCATTGGTTATTAGCATTCAGAGGACCCCAACCGACCGGGCTACATCGCCGTATGTGGCTCAAATCAGCTGTCGAAGATTTGATGGACAGATGCAATTTTTGTCTTCACAGCCCCTCTCTTTTGCGACTTAATCCTGTGTCGGCTAACATTGCCCGTCAGTCCTGGCAACAGCTAGTCATGTGCAGCGAATCTCGATTCGACTTCTAGCACCTCAAAAACTTCAATAAACAGACCTCCCTTCTGCCAACGTCCAACATTTCCACGTTCGTCAGTAGTTCTCCCAGCAGTTTTTCTATTACCCAGCAGCTATGAATTTTTAGTTTCCTGCTGCTATCTTTGAAGACGAATTTCTAAAGCATCTTAGTTTAAGTTACTATTTCTGTTTTACATTTGTCTGTTAATTCTTATTTTAATCCCAACGCAATGAGTGAATGTACGTGCTACTGAGTCGGGTTTAAGGCAACTGCAGCGTCTCCTATATTTGATACAGTAGCGTTTACAAGAGAATTACTGTGAAGCACTGGAATTCATGTAGTATCTTGAGTTTGTAGATGTAGGCGTCGACGTTGTGTTGATGTTTGGCGTTTTCTATTTATAAATTATGTAGTCGCTCGCTCTCTCAATTCCGAAGGTTGCTAGCTGTTTTTCACTGGCAAAATTCTAAAATATCTGGGCGTATCGATACGATATAGAATCATACAGTATTCGCTATTGCTTTTTTCTGTCGTACTGTGGTATCTGATACAATACTTTCTCAGGTAGTTTTCTAATGGACAGACGTTTTTCTTTACTTTCCGTAGATGAAATTATCAAGTTGAACCAAAAAGAAGCTCGTAAAAATCAAAGAATTCAACAGACTACAGCTCCACGTGGTAGACGATTGTTTACCAAATCTTCACAAAAACTGCGAGTATCCGCTGCCGGGAATCGACTGCGCCGTTTGAAACAAAAACGACTTTCTCGAAATAATCGTCCTCCCCCTGAGTCCACTGCACAACATCAATTTTCCAGGAAAAATAAACGTGTGTTCACTGCCAAAAATGTCCGTCCCAATCGAGCAGCTGCACTTGCAGTACTTCGCAGAGCCCAGCGGACTGCTGCTGCTGCAGCGAAAACAGCAGCAGATGCAACTGCGCTTCTTCAGCGCAATCGTGTGCGACGTCAGCAGTTGTTCGATGAACGAAGAAGTATCCAGACAACTCGCATTGGTGCGCAGTGGTTCCTATCTGATACTAGTTTTCATAGTGGTCATTATATTAATATTTTTTTCAGTACTAAGTTGATAAATTATTTGGCACTAAAAGTTAATTAACCACTTATATATGAGTGCCTGCAGGAATTTGCATATATAAGCTTGATATTTATGAGGGTCATATCTGTACTACCAGATTGGCTTTCCCTGAGTGGACCAATTCTCCATCGTTTCCATTGAATAGTGTCCCCCAATGGGCCATACATCTAATTTACTTGATTATGTTGTCAGTGATATGCTCAAACACAAACGATTGGAAGCATTTATTTCTTCTTACAGCCTATGAAAGACGCCCTTCAGGGCGTAGAAATGCACCAGTTACCGTACCTGGTTCCCGAGCAGCTTATGATACATCTCGGGTTATTGGTCGTACATGGCAGACAGAGCAGCGGTCACAAAACTTTCAGAGACGTCTGCGTCGCAGACCTCGCCAGACCATGGGGATACCTCAAAGTAAGTGCCTAAGCTTTCGCTTTACTTGGTTTTTATTTTACTCTGTGAGCTTAAAGAGTTGGAGATAGACTTCAATGGTGCTAATGTTGCGTGTCATAATACGCACCACTTTTTACTGTATTTAAAACGGTTTAGAGAATATTAGAATTAGATTTTCTATCACAAAGTTTTCCAATTAACAAAACATTAATGTGATGTAATGAAATCATATGTAGTGCTTCACAATAGGACCAAAGTGATTACCACTAAATGTGGACAACATACGAGTATAGATGCGCAGCCGAATTCGTTTTGTCATATCACATGGAGCTCAGTAACTGTTCGAGGGTAACTGCAGTCGATGGGGGTAAATACCACTTGGTCTCCATATCCTACCTCCTTTAAAATGCGATATCTTGAGCATACACCTTAGCCCTGAAATCTTACAAAAGTTCTTTCAGTCTAAAGAGAAATCACGGGTTTTCCAGCTTTATCCAAACTGGTTTAAAACCTATATTTTTAGTGGGCTTGATATCAGATAGAGATCTGCTCCAACGTAAACTGGTTAAAACTCGCCAAAGAAACTACCAGAAGTGATAACGGTAGCATGAAGTGAAGAAAGTATCAGTGCTGGTATTACTTGTCATTTGCTTATTTTTCTATTGCGAAGAGACCCTAATTAAGGTATAATGGGCGAGTCTCAGAATGAATAGGGGTATCGCAACTTTACAGGGTATGGCCGTCAAAAGTGCCAGGTATGAGGAGGCTTGTATGTTTCCCGTGTTTGGTAATGTTTTCCCTATAATCGGAATTCGAGACATCTTTGTTCCTCTCTGATTAACCTCTCCTTCACATCTGTGTTTATCGGTTATGGTACCATTGTATTTCCGTCTTGTTTTTTCGTAATCCGAAGGATGGAAAATTGAACTGGTACACCTGGACAGAGTTGTTCCTTAACGTGTAGTTGTTTTCATAAATGTACATTTGTACTGTGTTGTCTATTAAGATAATTGTTAGGTTTTTGCAAAGGATATTGAAACGCATTGCACATGTCTGTCTTAAAGTTTCATGAATTGTGCTGGCAATAGTGCATATTATTTAAATTAGCTAATGTATACTGCAGTAAATTTATTCGTATTTAAATCATTATTTCTACGTTACCTGATGAATGTTTTTACTCGTTTCACTTAGGTCGCCGAACATCCTTCCGCGGGTCCTCATCTTCAAACGGTCCCTCACTTATCAGTTCATCTAGCGGCAATCAAAGGTGGAGTAATCGTTCTACTTTTCGAGGTAATGGTCGGGGTCGACAGCGTAGCACTTATACACTTCAGACAAACAATCGCACGGTTTCTCGCGCTCGTAATGCAGAATATCTTGCTCAGGCTCGCGCTCTCATCCGTGCACAACACGAACATGTTCAAAGATATAGATCAAATGATGCACCCAGAATATCAGTTTGGCCTCCTACATCTCACAGTGCACCACACAGAAACTTAAACTACTATGCCAAATATTGGGATAACTAAAGTGTGCTAAAATTGACTGGTTTCCCATCAAGTGTGTTCGAAGAAATATGACTGTACTTAATGACACACAATAAATCTGCTTGCATCTTCATTTTCTCGTTTAACCTATTTGAAACCTTTGCTGTCGTTGATAAATAAGATAGCAACTACCTATGTGTACAACTTATAAAAAAGGATCTTAAAAGCTTTAACTTATTTCAACTACCCTAGTAAAGTACAATCCATGTTTTTATGTTGTAAAAGCGATAAAAATTCCCAATTCAGTTGTATGTTTTTGTACAATTTCAATCTGAAGCATTTCAATTTCATTAAAGTGTATGGTGATGTTTTAAAGATATTTTTTCACTATTTGAACTGGTCCATCTACTTTTTCAGAATGCAAATAGTCATTGTTTCTAATTCCTCCAGTAAATACTATTTCTTAATTTGTTGCAACATCCATCTAAAACTGAGGTACTTTTGTCTATAATGTCCTTTCCACTACTCATCATCTTATGTAAAACAGGAATTCAGGAACTTGTTATTATTGTTATTCGAATTTCATAAGATACTGAATTCTTCAAATGTGTATGTATTTGTTTAAAAGGAAAAATGAATGAATACCAACATACATAAATTCACATTGAATATTCACGTAATAAGAAAGAAATCACTTAGACAACACTCTTAAGACAATTCAAAATTCAATACGATTAGATGGGAGGCTACATTCAAGGTAGAAGTGTGTAAAGGAAGGTATGTATTTAAGTACGACGTTGAAAAAAGAACAGTATGAGTCGAGTAGTTGGCGTCATTAGACAGACAAATTTGATAACAGTATTTCGTGTACGAATAAATGTCCATGAAAAAGGGACGCTTGTATATGTTTATATGTATGTATAAAACGAAGCGGTAAATAAAAGACAGGTAGGTGGATTTAAATTGCATGCAAACAAGTTGAAAGTTAGTTGGAATGTTTTGTAGACAAAAAAGACTGCGAGAAAAAAATATTAGTAAATAGAAATAGTTTTCGAAAACAAACTAAGTGATAACGTTTAGTATTAGGTATGTGTTGGCGATGTTGTATGGTGAAACACTCAGCATTAGACCTATGCTAAGTTCTCTTGCATTCTTCTTGTTGTCTTCTTAAACTGCTTCAAGCAGCAGAGTAAAGTTGACGATGAGTGACTAATAAATATAATATGTTCTCAGTTTAAGGGCTTTAGTTGGTCTTGGTTTCTCATCATTTGTTACATATATAATTCTAAGTGTTTTATTGTTCTGGGGCTAGCTTATGAGCTTGTTAGGGAGATAGGTAGGTGCACTAGAGGAAAATAGTGAAGTGATGTGCTTATGATCTTCTGCGCTACATTTGTTAGCCCTTCTCGGGCATTGGTTGTAATGTGTGCCATTGTGCAATAGGTCTACGTGGATTGGCTAACATATCCGACCAGTGGCGCAAACCTGCCCCTGTTTCGTTGCAACCCAAAACAACCCGACCAATTGCTTCCGATGTCCCAATGCGATCATAATCAACCACGACCACAATCAATGTTACTTTCTGTGGAGAAATAATAGTAATAAAAGTGTTGATATACTAAGACAAAGTGGTAAAAGTATAAAGTGATTGAACAGATTTCTTTCGCAAGATGGTTTTGTACATGGTATATCAAGTACACGTAACATGCATATTAAACTTCTCATTGTCATTGAGTAAGCTAAAATGTACTCTAAAGTCATTAGCTTGTTGAACGAAATTGCATCTAGTACCAGCAAAGTAAATCCAACAAATATATCGGTAGATGAATGCTAGTCTAGTTGTTGCAGCGACTACTTGCATATATGGGTCTAGTGTTCAGCACCTTTTGAGACTAAGTTCTTGCAGGTAATAGAGAAAGTAACAGAAGACTGGAGTGATAACTCGTCTTCGTAATAAAAGAAAACACCTGTGTGATTGATCAATGCGTACACTGTTTTACGGTTTATGGTATCCGTACATTTACGAATGAGAAAAACTTGAAAATTCGCTATCGCTCACGCCAATGCAATATTATAGTGAGTCCGTTTACTGTAGATACTGTTGAAGTCATTACGGTCGACAACTATGATTTTGTGTGACTTTTTTTCCTGATTTCTTCTGATTAAAAGTAGTCTCCTACTTTGAAAAATGCTTCATCATCGTTTCATTTGTAATGGTGTCAGTCACTAATGTTGCTATTCAGAGTGACACTGGATGAAATTTTCTAGGTTTCTCTATTACTGGCTTTGAAATATCCTTGATGACTGAGTCATTTCGCACACCTACACTTGAAGTTTTATACCGTGAAAACTGGTGATCTATGTTTCACTGTTCGCGTTGCCTGAGATAATCAGTCCATGACAAGTAGTTCAAGTTTATTTACCATGCACCAGCTGAGATCAGTATGACAGTTCAGCATTGGCCAATGCACACATCGTTATATGTAATTTGGAACTCTCCTACTTGTAAGTAGTAAGTATCTTCTGTTTGTAGTTAATACGAAGGGAATGTTGTCATCAAAGATTGGCACCTGTTGTCTGTGGTGGGAACAAAGGTTGAAGGGAAGAAAACACTTGAACTTATTTCCCACGTTCATTTGCCCCACGAACATGTTAAAACGTCTATGAATATCATATCTAGGAACAATCACTTACCTGAATTTGTTCAAACGGTACTTCAAATGCAAAGGATTCATTGTAGTAAGGATTTAAAGTACACTTCTTAATAGTAGTTTTCTTCTTTTTAATTCTTTTTCCTCCCAACATCAGAGAAAGTTTAACGTAAGGATCTACAAGTAAAAGATGTAAGTGGTAATTACAAATGCTTTCATGCCTTTCGAGAAACGAATTACTCAGGCTTGTGGTGTTCGTCATGGCAGATACATGTCAAAGGAACATAGCCTGTGGACTTCTTTATCATGCAGGCTTTATATGACTACAGATTGTTGTTTTTCTCTCGTATCTGTGACCCCCATCTGAGAAACTATGTTATATCATCTAGTAACGGTTAACATTTGATTTACAAGTAAGTAGATGTGTTTAACACATTCTAGGACTGATTGAGTACTTATTAAATAAATATTAATGATTACTGCACCTTGAGAGAATCCTCCAACCAATCAAACAAAATCGCTAGAAAAACAATACTTGAGAATCGAGCATTTGTCTATTAGTATGTTTTTTCTAGCTGGTTAAGTGTATTCCACTAATGTTAAATGATAGTGAATGCATCAGTTAAGACTTTCTAAGAGGTTATGACATTGGTTACAAGCAAGTAACATTTCAATCCCATAATACTATTTTAATTGAATTTTAGATTTTCCCGTCGTTTGTAGGGAGTTTTCTTTGGGGCTCATTCCCCCGGAACCCGGCCTTTAAACCAAATTCCCCGGGCGACGACAGCCACCTCTTGTCCAACGGTCATATTAATTATTTAATTCAATTTTACATTTTCCCGTCGATTGATTGGACCGAAGTGCTCGGTGTCAGGTTGACATGTCGGCTTCTTGTGCAGATGCTTCGACGATGTCTGGGCGTGTAATTAGAAGTGAATTGGTGGATGGTGACTAGCAGTGGAATCGAGGATTCGCATTTCGTCCTATTTGGGACTCGTCAGCTGGATGTGCCTGCATTCCGAAGTGAGTGATGATGTTCCCACCGAGGCTCGAACCCAGTGGCCATAGTTTCAAACGCCAAAGCGTTATCCAGTAGACCACTCGGGCGACGACAGCCACCTCTTGTCCAACGGGTCATATTAATTATTTAATTCAATTTTACATTTTCCCGTCGATTGATTGGACCGAAGTGCTCGGTGTCAGGTTGACATGTCGGCTTCTTGTGCAGATGCTTCGACGATGTCTGGGCGTGTAATTAGAAGTGAATTGGTGGATGGTGACTAGCAGTAGGAACATCATCACTCACTGGGAAATGCATGTACATCTAGATGACGAGTCCCAAATAGGACGAAATGTGCATCCTGGCTTCCACTGCTAGTCACCATCCACAAATAAAAAATCATAATACTATTGTTTATTGGAGACAGTCTTGCTCCGCTTACTGACTAAGCGTGAATAACAGACTAGAAGAAATCTACAAAAACTGCTGTATTTGTGTATTTTCTTGTGTCAGTGATCTGCTTCTTTTAAATTTATCAACAAGTTCGACTTCATAAACCCCATTTATCATCTAATATCAAAAGATTATGTCCTTAGAATATGTTAATAACGTAACAGTAAACAGGAAGAATAATAAAAGGATTAGTTTTGTCAGATCTCATGAAAGCTAAAAGCCTAAAAGGAAATTTCGGTCAGTTCCGGGCCTTTTGTTCACAATTTTTCCAGTGTCGTGCTTAATAAGTTACAACTGGAGGTGTTATCCCTAGGTCCCAAATTTAGTGACTATGATGCTAAGGTTAACCAATTAGACACTTATATACAGTTTGAAAATTTGTATTCTCAAACGTCTGACCTTATCCCATCATCGGACGATGAACTAACTAGGTTCAAAACGACGTTGCCAAAAATACAAAAATATTTTATAGTTTGGTTTGTAAGGGTTGGTTTTGGTTTTTACGAGTTGATCACGGATTGATATCAGCTAGACTCTCCATGGTTTTCAATCCGTGATCAACTCGTAAAGATACAAAAATAATAGACATTCAGTAAATAGTCTGTTATCTAACTAAGCAACACAGAGAAGTTCTAAGAGAACTTAGAAGTAACGGAAGCTTAATTATTGACAAGGTGGCGGTGTAGTTTTACTGGATAAAAGCGATTACGTTGAGAAAATGGAAGGTATTTTGCATAATCAAACTAAATTCCAATCTCTTGATAGTTCCAAAAACCTCAGTGTAAAAGTGGAGAAACTAATGACAGACACTCAAAAAACTGAACCAAAAAGCAGTATTATCATCAGCCATGTATGAGTCTGTGAAATCAAACGGTACCAATTTTCCACGTTTCTGCGATCTACCCAAAATGCACAAACTGGGTCTTCTTCTCTCTCTTTTAGATATGTATAACTCTCCATTTCACGGAACAGCGAAGCGGTTAGTGAAAATTCTGGAACCTTCGCACAAAGAAATCGTGCGACATAGAATTAGTGATGTCTTCAACTTTATTTCTGAAATATTAGAGACTAATGTGAGGGATAAACACATGTTATCCATAGATGTATCATCATTACTCACGAATGTACCACTTATGGAGACGGTAGATTACATTTGTCAAGAAATCACAGATAGGCAATTGGACTTAGGAATTCACTTGTGTAGCCTCAAAGAATTACTCCTTAAATGCACGATGAATGTGCACTTTGTCTTTAATAACTCATACTGTAACAACAGAAGACAAGGGCCAGGCAACAGATCGTTTTATTATGAAAATCAACACGTATTTATACATATTTCACATTATGCAAGTAGACAAGCGCAGTTATCTGATTGGTTGTTTATCAGAAGTTAGGCAGACAAACGCAGGCTTCTGATTGGTTGTTTCGGGTTTCCTCGACAAATAGAGTTCTCTATCTGCGAGTCATATTTTGCCACGTTAACTTTACTGTGATTGGTTGTTGAATCAGCCTTGCTCATATTTTCTCACGGCCTGCTCTCGCCACAATACTACTGGCAAGTAGATGGAATAGCTATGGGTTCACCCAATATTAGCTGACTTCTTCCTCGCAAAACTTGAAGACGGGAAATTGAAAGACATCATCAAGTAGTTTGGTATGTGTTACCGCCATGTCGATGATACATTTATCTTAGCTCATGGGAATGTAAACACAGACGAATTGTTGGTGAAACTCACCAACATCAACCCTCCACTTACTTTCACTTGTGAAGAGGAGCGGGATAGTAAACTACATTTTCTAGATGTCTTGCTAAGTAGGCAAGAAGATGGGTCACTTGGGAGAAACATGTATGGAAAAAGCACATTCACAGGGTAACACACACACTTCCTTAGTTACGTGTCACTAAACATAAAATAAGTAAATAAAACAAAAAATACAAGATAACACTATTCTGTACACCACTTTAAATCAGAACTCATGTGATATCTTTCCTATGGAATAGTGAAGGCGATGTGTTATTTTGTAACAGGATAATTAGTACAGGTGCATTGTTCCATCTTCTTCGAACTCCTTTAATCTTGGATAGAAGTTCATTTAAATCTACCACAGGAGATATGAATATTAGTTTCTCCCGGGTTATCTGGATATGTGATTTCAGTGTACCTAATCCTTTTGCTCAGATTATGTCCAGATTTCTGAGACTAATTTCAGTAACTGGACGTATTTTCCAATGTGTAGCATAAATATTTAGCAATCACGCAGCCGATGAACACTTATTAATTCCACGATCTTATGGGACCTATCTGCTAATGATTTAAGTAACCATGATGATCATCCTTCAGTTTCGATTCATTTTGAAGCAAATTTAAAGTAAATAGTCTCTAAACTGTCTTAATATGAAAGTTCGTCAATGAAACACGGAGTTATATCAATGTAAATTAGTAGATATTAAATTTAGACGTTTAAACTTCGAGTTTTCTTCAACTTCTATGAGGAACTAGGATGTGTGATTGAATAATTAAAGGAAAATTTAGTAATAATTAGTGTTACAACACTTTTTGTACTATTTTGGCATATTTCTGCTATAATTAGTGTCAAAAAGATTGACAGATCTTTAGGAAGAAATTCAGATGATTAATAATTTTCATTTGATTTCTCCAATCATAGGAAAACACTGTTGCTACTAAATTTATCAAAATATTACAGGAACAAGTGGTTATCTTGAATGTAGTAGTAGTGGTAACAACACCAACATTCATGCCTCAACTTCTGGTCAAAAGTAAAGTTATCCAACCTTACAATTTAATTACATTTCCCACGTTTAAATGTATCTGGCAGATACATTTTTTGGCTTGCTTGAGAATCACATCTGTCTGAAACCATGGTGTTTGAAGGAAGCCAAAGAATAAATTAAGATAGTTGCACTGTTATTCTGTCAACTAAACCTACGAGTAGATTTATGTGGGAATGCAGTCTAGCAAAATCCTGTGATGAGATTATTTCCAAGATTCTGCTCATACAATAATAACTTAGCTTAAAAAAGCCTGAGTCGGATAAATATGTATTTGGGATCAATACGCTAGTATTAGTGGAGCGTTTTAAAACTATGCAGACAATGTACTCGGTATAAATTGACAGTCTAGGCTGTGCAACACACTTAATGTATGAAGACCTACTATAATATGCAATTTTCCGCCGAATGAAGTAAACTGAGATCTAGACTGTTAGCCAAATTGTGTTGCTACGTCGAAAACTGAGCCAAATTTGCACGAATTAAAGAGCTATCTAGCTCTAACAACAGTCTGAAATACTGTAAGTTGGATATTTGAAGTTATCAAAAATTTACCAGAAAATCAAGCCCTATCAAGATAAATTATTATTTTATTATTATGATCAGTTGTCAGCTGGTATGTTGTTAATGTAGTCTATAATGAAATTTCAGTGATATCAGTTATTCACACAACAAGATTAATATATCAACTTGCCTGACAATCCACCAACGTCCATTTTCTTAAGATTTTTAGCCTCCAAAATATTGATGGTCAACTTCCCAGCAGTTGGTACATAACGTAATGAGAAGCAAATATCACCAAGACGATTTTCCTGGGAGGCAAAATGAAAACGGAGTCATGAACTGCAGAAAAATTATTGATTTTTATTTTTATACTTGCTTGGCCAAAAAATATTCCGTTCACCCTATAGAGCTTGTGGCATTGTCTAAATCATTAGTAACCATCAAAAAGAATACTTATTTAGAGAGGTAAACTTTCAAGTATATTAGAAGATGAAACTTATGAATCTTAGGTTTCTTGCAGAATCAGCTAGAACTATCCTCCAGAACCAAATCCCATCTGTTTGTGTCCCTTTTCATAATGTAAGTGTCTTTAGTCGTGGATTTATTTTTTCTACTTATTGCTGACTTAGTACGGTTTCGAGAAACGCGAAACACAGTTAATCAGAATCATCCATATCGGCATGAAAACTAATTGTTATCAATACGTTTCTAGTTATGTCACGAAGATCGGTTACCATATGAGAACTGACCCAGTTAGCACTGGCTTCAAGCATACTGCAGAACGTTGGGTCCACTGCAAAAAGTCACCCAACCTCGGAGCATTATATCTGACTTCAACTCAAACTGGTAAATCATAGTCTTTAGTCATACATATAGGTAAAATGGATGCAAGTATCTAAGCGAACATGAGGTGATATCAGTTCATGATGAAATTCACCTTTTTCATAACTGCTCATATACGTTATTGATGAAAATCAACAGAAAAGAAACCCGAAACTGACAAGCATATGGTGAAATGTATATATATATATATTTGAATAAGGCATTAAGAAGACAAATTTCGCGAGATGATATCATTTCGTAGTTTCTTTACAACCGCTTTACAACTAACATGGTTAACAATGATAAAATAAAGTTCATGAAAATTACTCAGTTAAATAAAAACAAAAGTATATACTAATGACCAATCATATTAAGATAGGTCATTAGTATGTACTTTTTTTTTATTTAACTGAGTAATTTTCATGAACTTTATTTTATCATTGTTAACCATGTTAGTTGTAAAGCGGTTGTAAAGAAACTACGAAATGATATCATCTCGCGAAATTTGTCTTCTTAATGCCTTATTCAAATTTACCAAAGGGACTAATTGCTTTAATATATATATATATATATATATATATATATATATATATGTCTATTAATTTTCCAAAACATTCCTCCTACCTAAGAAACAAGCGATCCATTTCATTACCAGTTTAAAACATCAGAAAAGTATTTCATAAACAGAATTGTTTTAAAAAAGGAATGAGACACACTTTCTCAACTCAATATATTGATTTCTTGTCCATATTGTTAACGAGACGTGAAAAGCAAAACTTAGTGACCTCAACGCTGCTTAACGCTGGTACTAAGCATACATGAGTCTTCGACTTTTTAATATGTTAACAGCTTTATTTAGTGATATGCTCACACGCTAAACACTGAAAGGTATGCCAAGAAAAGAACTTCTTTAATATCTAAGATACTATTTAAAGTGTATGATATCTATCCTTTTTTATCTAAAAAAAACATAAACATTTATTATTAGAGTGTATGCTGCACTTGAAAAATCATGTTTCACTGAAAGGCTTTATAAAATGCTTGAACATTTCAGCAGTATACCACCTATGTGAAAACATTATTTGCTTTCTATGTGGTGATGTTAATAACTTGAAAATTCTTTCAGTTTTGATTACTAAAAGTACATTATATTAAGAGGGAATATAAGTCATCTACTGTTATACTATATAAGGAGGGAATATCTGAGACCCTACGTAGGATTCTAAATAAAGCAGGAATCAGGGTGGCATTTAAACCTACAAACTCACTCAGGAACAAGCTGTGTAGGTTAAAGGACCCAGTTGAACCAATTAGACAAAATAATATTATTTACAAAATACCATGCAATGACTGTGAGCTAAGTCAACTACATAGGTCAAACTAGTAGGTCAGGGGTAGTCAGATTGTCGGAACATAAGAATTTAGCTAAGGTAAGAATGGTTGACCCTGAAAAGATAAGTAATTTAGAAAAAAGCTCAGCAATTGCACTGCATGCATTAACACACAACCACACAATAGGGTGGGATAGGGTTAAAATTCTAAAAAGTAATCTAAATAGGTGGAAAGAGAGCTTGATGACTGGATCCTTGTTCATCGAGTCTACACCCAACACATGCAATAGGAGTGATTCATCACTCATACCGGAAATATGGAACTATATACATGAAGTTAGGAAGTCGTGTGAGTACCTTGATATGATTATGAGCAATAAATTGTGCTCGAAACGTCATCAGTAAACATTACTGTATAACATTGTGAGACTTTATCAAAACAAAATTTCCCCATAATGGAATCACACTCTGCCAAGGTGCACAAGTTCTATTCTTATATCAATAAAAGTACATTAATCCTAAGATTCAATATCAAGTTAACAAAAATAAAAAAGTGCAGCTTCTCAGTATTTCAGTGTTAATATTGGTATTAAAATAAAACTGATTACTTCTCACACATTTTGACATATTATAACAAATCATTGCAAGTTAAGCTAAGTTCATCCGCGAACGACTGAAACGTCAACCGCATAGATTAAGATGTTAACACTTAATAACAAATCACTACATCGTGTGTAGACTACCTTTTCAAATACTAATTGGTGGTCGCTCATGTAGTAATTTGTCAGATGACGAAGCTCAAAACTCTAGTGGAAACCCCTAGAGGAGCTGGGGTTGGCTTTAAAGACCATCTTAGTAATTGCATGGCCCACACCTGTTGAACAAAAGAATAGACTGTTATAAACAGTTGTCTGCTGTCAATACTACGATTAGATGCTTTATTTTTCAGACACAAGCAACATTTGAGCTTAGTCTAGGTTCCTGGTATAGAATAGGACATGTTCGATCAAATTAAGCTTCCACTTAGGTTCATTGTACCATTCAGTTTCATTTGCACGCAACATATTTCAAGGTTTACAGTAAAAGGCATGTTACGAAGATATGTACGGTATTGATTAGAATTAGGTCACATTCATTCTCACACAGTTACCTTGTGTTAGACTATTTTCTAGCAAAGTTTTTGACTACAAAGTATATAACATATATAACATAACCTTATATAATAATTCGATAAATGAAATAACCCACAGTATGATGAGAACAAGATGATTTTTAGTGAGCAATTTTTCTCGATAACTTCCTCCTCAGGCACAACAGATATAATAAATCCATCAATATTACAATACAAATAACCAGTAAAACCAGGTGAGAATCATATCATCACAATGTGTACTTGCGTACACATATAAGGTGGTGGGATAACAGTCCGTTAGTTAATCTATTTTCAATCGAGTATATGTACAATGTATACTCATTGAGAACATAGAATGAAATGTGAGTAGACAATTGAGTGGCATACTAATGTATCCATAGTCAACACTGAATGTGCATTCAATGTGCTTCATATTGTTCGCATGTGTTTAGTGGGGTTCATATTTCTCTTACACCATTGAATATCTTACCAATCCTAAAGGAAATTTGTATTCTGTTGACTATGAATACATCAGTATGCCACTCAGTTGTCTACTCACATTTCATTCTGTTCTCGATGAATATACATTGCACATATACGCGATTGACAATATATTAACTGATGGACTGTTATCTCACCACCTTATATGTGTACTCAAGTACACATTGCGATGATATGATTCTCACCTGGTTTTACTGGTTATTTGTATTCTAATGTTGATGGATTTATATCTGTTGTGCATGAGGAGGAAGTTTTCGAGAACAATTGCTCACTCAAAAATGTCTTGTTCTAAATACTTCTATCTTTATCAATGTGGTATCATATTGAATGAGTCACCTCAATAATACATGTGTAGGCGGTATAGCGGACTGAAGCCAAAAACTATTGGTGTGTATTTCTGGCGTGTAATACTGACAAGATTCATAAGTAGCATATGGAATCAAATATAAATATGTATATCAACGCCAGAAAACGAATGGTGCAAAAATGAATTCAATGAATGATGCTTGAGAAACAACTTGGCGAACAGGAAAGGAAGACAAGGCAGCACAATACTGGAAATATATGTAAATTGTGATTGGTGGACGTATTTTGCCTGTATCTGTGCATCGAATTGCAAATAAATAATTCCATTACCAATTCTCATGGCTTCTACGGTTACATATTACTGTCCTCAGCAAAACTGGAGGATTTTAATTATAGTCCATTGTTGTAGGGATGTGTCTGTCTGTCTATCTGTCTGTCTGTTTTCGACATAGAACTTTGCACAAATGTGCGGAAGTTCAAGTCGCCACACCGTGTAGCACGCGAAGCAAGAGAAGAAAGTACAAGAAAAGCATAATAGAAACAGTGAGCAGAGGTGTGAGTCAAAGGAGTAATAAAGAAAAACAAAACAGTTTCATTGGAGATCATATGTCACAAGGAGTGGATGCATCTGCGCCACTGAGAACGATTTTGAGCCATATCACCAATTGTTTCCAACCATAGATTTTTACCGTCCCGAGGACCCCAGCCTGGAAGTCTACACCTTCCTACGTGGCTTAGACCAACTGTTGTGAATTTCATTGACTGATGCAAAGTTTTTGTTTGACCTCCACTAGCTTTTTTCCAGCCTGACCCTATATCCGCTAACATTGCTCGTCGAGGGAGGCGATGGCTTGGCATACGCAACACATGTCCTAACCATCTCAGTCTTTGTAGCTTCACGACTTCGTCGATTGATTTCCCCTGTTTACCTAGAACTCGACGCCTAACCTCAATGTTGCTCACCTTATTATACCACTTTACACGGGAAATAGAGCGCAGGCACCTATGATCAAAGACAGCTAGTCTTTTCATGTCTTCCACTCTCAGTGGCCAGGTCTCACAGCCATAAAGGAGGACGGAGCGGACTGATGAGCAGTACACCCACCCTTTGGTCAATAGTCGAACATCTCGTCTACGCCAGAGTCGGCGTAAACTGGCAAATGCGAAACGAGCCCCCTGTATTCGTGCTGAGATTTCGTCACCGATCAGCCCGTTGGGGCTGATGGTGTCATATAACACGTGTGAGTAGTTATTTTGATTCTAAAAACAGTGTATTCCCAATTTTCTCTCCCATTCATTAGTTCATATGTGTCAGTTATGGATGGTTAAATCTTATGATAACTTCAAAATAAACTCAATTTCCTCGTTCTTCTGCAAAGAACAATGTATAGTTTGAAGCAGATTAACAGTTACTTTGATCCAATAAATGTATGTATGAAAATTAACGAAAGGAATTATGCATCAAAAGAAGTGGGTACTGAGTAATTTTTATTTGTTAAACATTTTTGGAAGGTCTTAAAAGGTGTATCATTTATTCTGTTATCTATGATAATGCTCAAGAAAAAAGCAAACATACAAATGATAATAATTATCCAAAATTTGGTTTAGCTCTGTGGCAATTTGTGTGTATTCTATTTTTGTCATAACTTGGCAGAAATTTATGTAGCGCATATGGTTTGTATATACTCATACTTATTTTTACACTAAATCTGATGTTAAGAGGATGATTGATTTTAAATAGCTAGAGTTAATCAGAAGTAAAGCTTTACTGACGAGTGCCGATAGGCACGAAACCCAGTTCCAGGGTTTGCTGCCAATCGCCTCCAACCACCTGATGTTAATTCAAAGTTTACCTCCTAGCTTGGTGATCACACTACTAACCTGACCGACAGAATTCAGACAGAGCCAACATTTAATGTGTAGATACTTGAAGTTGGCTACCTTCTAGTAACCAATCAATGAGTACACCAACTATGAATGTAAGAAGACAGGAAAGAACCAATTCAACAAACATTAATTTGCCAATTTTGATATTAGGACGCTTTGTGTTACTTTTATTCTATTAATGAGAATAAAACACGTAGATCAGCGAAGAGACTCTTTTCGGCCAATTCATTTTCCACCTTAGCTGTACAATCGCAAATATACATGTGTTACTTTGTATGTATGTGAACATTAAGTTTGTCAAATAAAATTACAAATTGGTTATGGTTATTTTATCTAAACAGGTGAAGATTGGTAATACAAGTCAAGTAAATTAGGTATTATATGAAATTAGGGTAGTAACAAAGGTGATGAGTTGTCACAATCAGTTGTTAAAAGAAGTTATGTGATAATAATATGAATAGTTTGATGAGTGAGTTTTACTCTGGATGCACATAGGAACAAAGTTGATAATACAATATATTATATACAATTTTTGTTTATTATACCTGTTGATACCTGTTTCAATTGACAGGACAAACAATTTAAAAAGAAGAAATATCCTTTTATATAAAAACATACAATTTTGTTTACTAATTTTGTATGTCTGAGGTGAAATTTTGATGACTGTTGCATGACTCATGATTGGACAAAGTTACAAAAACAAGAGATGTTCCTTTTATATATAAACCTCTGTTATGTTAATTTCGATTAATTTCGCTGAAGAAGTTCGGACCAGACTGCCGAACGAATCGTTGGAATTAATCATATCAGTTTCACTGAGATTTTACAAATATAATTTTATAAACTAGACCAATTAATTCTTTTTCTGAAAAAAACTCACGTTATTTAACAAAAAATACTTATCTTATGCATATAGTAATAATGACGCTTAAATGCCACCCAGCTTACCTTTTCGTCATCATCAGGAGGACTTAGATCACGCCATTCTTCAATAACTCGAGCCAAATCAACAGATCCAAGTGGTACTTGAATTTGCCCTATTTGATCGTGCTTAGAAAATCTATCGAAATCATAAACATTAAACACCAAAGTTTTCCCTCCGATTTCAGCATACGGGACCTTCATAGAATGAAGAGGAGAAAGACATTAGAAATGCAACAGAACTTCATCTTTTCATGTCTGTCTGTTCATTACCGAGGACAATCAGTTAAATTTTCTAAATAAGTGATACGGCTAAAAATGATACGACACTGCATAAATACTGTGAACGAATAGCTGTCTCACTGTGTAGATCATTGTTTAATAGAATGTTTGCTAGGAATTACATAAAATCTTCAGATATGATTTATATATCCTCTGTGAATTACAACGGTGGCAAACTCTTATTTTCCATAGTTCAAACACTGGAGTTAGCCATTTGATTTGATTAACATTTCTGAGCTAGAGAAATGTACAGTTATGGAGTGCCTAATCAATTAGATTACACTCAAGGTTAAGGTAAGTGAGGTAAATAAATTACAACTTGTTTAAGTCAGCCGACTAATGCTATTCGTTACAAACCTTGCAAGTCAGAGTATACGCTGTTTTCCAGTCAATATCAATACAAGTAGACTGAAAGGTGAGAAAACACACAAAAACCCGGTCACTTTCAGGGTTACTAGGACAGACGACTAGTAAACATGTGGGGATTTTTAAAAGCTTACTTCAGATTGAAGTATGTGCTGAAGATGTAGTCTAGTAAAACAATGAAAGCTTCTCAGCTAAACCATCCAGCCTATAGAGCACAACTACATCAAAATCATCTACCTGAGCTAAAAATAATCTCCCTTATATCTACACTATTTTCCGTAATGAGTCAAAGACTAGCACCTTTAAGATGAGCTACTATCAGAATATGTATGCTAATTTACTAATTGAGTAGTTGCAGTGTATGTGTATTAAGTTACTGAACAGCTAGTAACATATTAACACAGTAGTACTGATTCTCAACTTTGGAAATTTGCACAAGATGAAAGAGAAATTAGAAAGGAAGCACTTATTATTTAAAAACTGCCCAGAGGTCTAATCACGATACCGCTTATTACTGAATCAATTTAATTAATCTTCAACTATTTCAGCTTGCGTAAATGAGTAATATCATAGGTTCAACGCACAGATGTATGCAAATTTGCTTAGTTGAAGGTACCTTTGAAGTATCTTAGCGAAAGCTAAATATAATACAGTAAACAGCAATTGACAATCTCTTTTTGGTGATTCCATGAATGCAAGAAGGTTACTAGTTTCAGGTTGAATTCATAACAACTCTAGTACTTCTGAAACCGTCAAATTCCACGAGCCAAATGTCTAAATAACTCTGCTAAATTGAACAGTTTTTCTTACCATGTGCTCAGATGCACAAGTCAGTTTGGACGTCATCACCAAATCAATGCCCAAGTTTAAATATACAGTGGAAAACTAAATATACATCAGGTAGTGTTAAGAAATGCATTGAAATAGCAACTAATAAATGCCCATTGAATCCTTCCTGGGCAAACCGCCCTCTACTACATGTAAAAAAAACATTTCAGAAGAACTTTTAAATATGAGGAATAGTTCTAAACCACATAAATCGATAAAACCAAAGCCAATGGACATTCTGATGATGACTGAGACAGAAAAGTAATCTAGTAGATGATATTGTCAACAGTCACATATATTACTCATGAATGCCACATTTTATGTCCTTTTGTTATTCTGGATATCAGAAGCCATCTCATTACAATAACTATCATCTAGTTCACTAAAACTTTGAATTTACCTTCTGGGACGGACAACTTTTGGTTGACTTTAGGTTTAATGTTATTTAATAGGAAGTGACTAACAGTGGAGTCCCGGAGGGGACTTTGTTCTTTTAGGGATTTATCAACTGGATCCACCTTAACTCTAGTGAGTGACGGTTTTCGAAATGAGACTCAAAAGAGACTGAAAATAAACAAATTTTAACTGGTTAACTTTCGCTCCGATAATTTCCGCTTATTATTTGGCTAAGAGTGTTTGTCTTCCAGTTATGAGTAATGGATTAGAATCTCAGTGGGGAAACCGTTACTGATTTTGGTAGCGATACATCCAACCGATAAGTACCGCAAAAGGATGAAACTGCCAGAAACGAAAGTCGATATAGACAGATTTTGATTGGCTGTTGGCTATTTGGCTTCCTATTGGTCTAAAATATAAGTCAAAGCGGTAAGTTCCTTATTTTCTCACGGAAAGTTACAAGCAGTGGAATTAAAGACTTTCCATAATATAATGGCGTATGGATTTTTTGGGTGAGTGTAGTGTGATGAGCCACATGTTATTTGGATGCATTAGTAGTTTTTAAAGTACATTGAGATGTATAAGAATTTCTACTAGGTGAATGTAGTTCAACAATAATTCTGATACATTTATTTTAAATCTCAAAATAGGACTTACTAGGTGAATATAATTCAACTACAATTTATTAGGTCACAACAGTGGTACATAAGCACTGAAATATATACTATTATTCATTCACTTGAAATCATAGTTTTATGTTCGTTAAGCATTGTTAAAACCACTAAATTATGTTACAAAATACTCCTGCTGCCTCTGATTAATGAAATGTGTCATCTACTCATCTTGAGTAACAAAGGGTAAGTTGGCCGTGCATGTAAATTTTAAAATCTTTAAGGTTCAAAAGTATCTTACATCAATCAACACTTACAGTACGCAATACATCTTAAGCATAAAGATAACAAAATACCAAACTGTGCATAACCATCCATTCATAGCAAGTTTCATCTCTACGGATATATCTAGACGTCGGCTGTCATCAGAGGAAATGACAGTTTTGTAACCGTCAGGAAGGAAAGGAACACTAATGTCCATGACATCATGGATTTAGCGCATGAGAGATTCGGTAAAGTTATCCTATATGATGATATTGAAAATATGCGGGCTAGGATAAATAGATGTAAGTCGTATCAAGGTAAATGTGACAGCAAAATAGAAATCGGTAGTTTACAAGACCTCCTTCATCGAATGAGGCAGGCAGGTTCAATTAGTGTTCTACATGACATTGCAGTTTTCGTATCAAAAATCATTTTCGCTTGTAATGATATGATATACCCTTATCTTAAGTTTCCAGAAGTAGTAGGGATTGATTGTACTTATAAAACGAATAAGATGGAAGCAAGTTGCAGTACAAGGACGTATAATTCCTTCGCCAAATTTATTACAGATGGCCTTTGTATCAGTTTGTCGTGACTGATGGATTTGGAAGAGGAAGGACTGTTTTATTTGCTCTTATTAGGAGGGAAAGGTTTGCAGATATCAAGCAGATATTGCAGACGTTTAAGAGATTTATGAGTGATACATCGAAAACGCTAACATTCACTGTCCACTGGGCAACTGCACAGGTGAACGCTCTAAAGGAGGAACTCCCTACGTGTAGTATTTTTTATGCCATGTATGCCAGGCAGGAAGGTTAGTTTCATTCCCATTAACTAACATAGCGAAAAAAATTCCCAAATCAACGTGTTAAAAAGTGGTTTTATCGAATGGCGCACACGCGCAGTTATGACAGGCAGGCTAATAGATCAGAATATATTACCAAAGGTTTTGGAGTTACCTGAATCTCATAAGTATTATAGACGCTGGGGCTGGTGCTTACATTAGAAGGTACTGGCTAAGGACACAGAAATATTGGGCTGCATCGTGCAACCGGTTCACCATCAGCATGGGGAACAATACTAACAAAAGGGTTGAGAATGCTCCAGGCAGCTGAAAAGGCATTTACGTAAACGTGATCCGCTGGAACTGATGCTATGGAAAATATGGAGGTGGACTGACCACACAACCATACGTAAAATACATGAGAGCCACTAGACGCTTTGTGAATATTACAATAACTATGTAAGTTTCATGATATTTTATGATTTCTCCTAGGTGCATACTTCGCTGCAGCCTATATTACGGCTTCTCACACCTTTTTCTGCCAAAAAAGTTGTTTTAGACTTGCAAAGGCACTGTTTCTTCTTCCATTCGGTATCCTTCACCTCAGTGAATTACGCAGAAGGTAGTCACATCTTCCTCGTAAACAGGGATGAGACTAAATATACGTGTTGGACATACGCGCGTATAGCTTGTCAAGTGCGCATTTCGTTGAGGCTTTCTTGAATTCATATCTAAACGTGGTATATTCCTTTTCCTTAAATGTTACTCTTAGATATTCTGACAAATAGCGAGAGGTGGACACGTCAGTATGACACCATGGACAACATTCCACGTGCCGCCTGCTTAACACCGCAACCAAACAACGTGCTTTGGAATGCTTATGAGCGGTTAAGATGTCGCCTCGTCAGCCTGAACCAATACAATCCCCATGCTGCACTGCGGGGAATAAAGAGTTGACCAGAAGGTTGGACAGTTTGCAAACAACTTTAAGATTACGACATATCCCTATTAATCGCCTATTTTTGTGGAAATGTTTATATCACCTTATTCTATCCGTATGTACTCATAATATAAGCATGTATGTCTAAATTGCTGTTACACTTCCTTTCCCTTGAAATGCCTAAGAGTGACAGTTTAGATCAGACTTTTATTGATTCTTCTGTGACGAAAGAACTTCGGGAGTCAGTTAGAAATTACACTGATTTGTGCCTTATTTACTACGTCTTAACAACCAGAGATTACTGATTCATAGCATACCCGGAGTAACGGTGACTAATAGGATCCGTCACCTATACTGTGGCAACGCTTAAAAGCACAGCCTTATGACAATTCTAAACAAAATCTAGCCTACGCATCACACTTTATCTACTTGAAATGAACACAGTATGTACAAAAATAACCCTGGTCGTTCTTAAAAAGTAGCAATGGACGCTGATCCTGAGCTAGGAGGGGTGAAATAAGGCTGATAAGATACTTCTGAAAATACTCAGAAGAAGAACAGAGTGCTGAATTAGTGCCAGTCATGCTGATAAACCAGGACACAGTTCCAGTTTGTGCAAATAATCAAACAATTTAAGATGGAGCAACATGTCAAGACGATTGTTGTGGTGTGATACGGACAGCGTGTACCAATGGAATATGATTCTCACATGTTCCCACAGTTCAATACGGCATTAGCAACAGATTACTATGTATATTTGAACATTCTGTGTCTTGTCATTTGGCGTAAACAGAAATCACAAGCTCAGTGACTGGATCATGAATATAAACTGTCTATATATAAACAGTGGTCTGATTAATGAAAAATATGCCTTGGTTTCCATGTCTTGTCTACTGTTGTTACAGTAACGCTAATGGTTTTCCTAAATACATTCTCATGATAAAAAAATGTTGAGAGACCAAAGTTTCGCTTAAGTTGATTAAGATAAACATAAAACAAAAAATAATTTAAACTCACTTTAAAGACAAATGTTTCATTAAATACTGGATTTAAAGTTTTTCGATGAACTTTAGTTTCATGTTTCTTTTTCTTTTCAGGTAGGAGGAAAACTTTTACATATGGATCAGATGTACCGGACAAATCCATTCCAGGTAAATCAGTAGCTTGTATAACTCCAACAGTTAACTATAATTAAAATTGAGAAAGTAGTGTATAGATGAACATTTCTGGTAAAGACAGTCTTTCTACAGAGATTCACACAGATATAATGGTAAAAACAAAAAGGTGATAAGTCACGTCTGTCGAGAATGCGACTGAAAAATGTTTGTTATTGTATCTCAGTGTCTTAACTTATTGGTTAAAGGTTTTCAAGATGACACCTGTGGTCTTGTAAAGCGCTGATGGTCTGAAATATGAAAAAATCTCAGTCTGAAATAAAAAAAATAGTGCATAAACTTTCACTGGTTATTCAACAGTTATTATTTTCTGAAGATAAATATCTTCCTCATTGAAGTATCACTATGTGCACCGTTGATTTGGTGATAAGTGTATGGAGTACGCAACGATATGTTTATACACTTTTTTAGATGTTGGAAATAGAGATATTGTACATGACTTTTGTTTAAAGCGATTCCTGTTGAAATACAGATAACTTCCGAGTACAATCTGAAATACAGTGTACTGTTGGTCGCTTCGCCTTCTCACCGGTCTATAACGTCTAATTGCTCCACTCATAACCGTGTTTTATACTTTGGATTTATTATTGCAGGAACCTATTATCCTCATCCGAAGATAATTCTACAACCGGTACATAGCTCCTAAAAGTAGACATGATTCCAGCAGTGAACGCTTCTGTGGATTATAGTAATAATTTGGAGCCGTGGACTTTAACTGTATATTCAAGTAGCCGTTTAATTTATATAACTCATTACTGTATTTTTTATAATATATTATTACACTATCATCTCATTAACTTTGATTTTCATTCGCATACTTGATATGTTATTGAGCTTGCTAGACGGTCCCCTGCAAGTGTTATGCTATTTAAGTTGAAATCTTCAAGATACAGTATGCTTAATAGGTACCAAAAAAGAAGCTGTTCACCCAAAGAAAAATGATCCGTAATTGCTGCTGCTTATGTTTGTTTGATATAAGTATTCAGGATATTATTTTCCACAAATCTCGTGGTGAAGTTACCAAGTAAAGGAAGAATATATTTTTGGAAAATAAATTCCAGACAACTTATAAGTTGTGTTAATTAGACACTGTCAATTTTTTAAGGGAACTTTCTCAAAGCTTATACAATCTTAATATACTTGTACAAGAAATATAACAAGTCAATTTGATTTATCTGATGCAATTAAACTTTAATAGTTTTTGATCATAATACCATTGTCTCCAGATATTTTTATCTTATTCACCAACTGTGCATATTTGTCATTATTCATACAGTCATACACTAAATTCATTCATAAATCTCTGGGTCATACTGCCTTGTCTATTCACTTTCTAATTGTATATACAGTTACATTCGGTGAGTCAATATGCTGTATTCTAACTCTGCTGGTTATTTCCACATATGTGGTAACCAATTTCGCATTTATTAGTGTATGTGCCTGAGTTGGCTTGAGAACTATAAAGACTATGTTGTTTTTACTGAAACGGGTTCTTGTCCCGGGTACCGCTCGTAGCTACGGCCCAGCTATATCATCCATGTTCCCGACCAGCTGCACCCTACTGGTCACGACTTCCCACTGGAAGCCAGGTAACTACCTACCTGAATAGGGCCAGTCGCCAGTGAGCATCTCATTGGTATTCAAGTGTTGGTTTGCAGGGATTTGATTGGTTTCAGGATTTCATCATGAGCTGACATTAGTTAGAGAAGCATTGGAAAACCTGGGAGTACTGGACAGCTGTTTCGTCCTAGTTCGGGACTCTTCAGCAGTACGCACCCACCGTGATTCTGCTACGTACTGCTGAAGAGTCCCAAACTAGGACGAAACAGCTGTCCAGTACTCCCAGGTTTTCCAATGGTTCTCTAACAAATGTCAGCTCATGATGAAATCCTGAAACCAATCAAATCCCTACAAACCAACACTTGAAAACTATGTACATGTGTTTGACATATATGTGCATACATATGCTTGCCATCTGACTGATTGGCTACCCGTATTTTAGTTGTCCTAATAATATAAGTGTATTACTGCAAACCGCATGGTTCTTGCTTGATTCTGGTACAAGTTTGAGTTAGTACTGATTCAGGAAAAATTAATCCTGAATTCGATTGGAAAAACAGTACACTATCTAATAAACGTCAATAAAGAATATTCATGTAAAACCGAAGTTCAACAGTGGTTTTACTGTTGTTAATTTTTCCTGTGTAGTGGAACCATCTCAGCTGATGATTAACTACAACAGAGAACATAACGGTAAATGAATCACAGCTGACCAATAGGGTTTCACTAGCATATCAGTTGATTCTGGCAAACGACTATTAAGCGGGCATTGATTAGTGGAAAAATATATGACGAAATTTTTATTACAGCATAAACAATTGCAAAGACTTTGTACTCCTATTCAGATGCAAAACATTTCTATAGACGATGTATGTAAATCACTTACCTCTCCTTGTGTAAAATCATAATCGATTGAATACTGTAGTTTTCCCAAATTAACTTCCTCCTTCTCTTGAACACCCTCATTGTCTTCCATGTTTGCTTCTAATTCGTCCAGATCTCCCTAATTAAAAGGAAATCGTCCGTGAATTCATCAAAAATATTTTAAATATGCATTAGTTTTATATTACATTAACACTTAAAAATGTATGAATGTGCTAGAAGTGTATATTGACTCATATGTTAGCTCTTTTCTCTAATGTCAAGAGAGGTTGTACATAAAATTGAAGATTAGGAAACTTAGACTATGTGTATCATAGAGACCACAGAATAAACTGATTATTTCAAGTAGTCACTTATATACTCATGTCCAAGCATGGATTTTTCGAATGTATGAACGGTATATATTCTACTCGAGATACATAGATGCTTCACTATCTACCTGTGGTGTGACATTGAGAAAATAAAAGAAGTATTAGTAAAGATCTTAAAGAAACTGTCAAACCTCTGCTCACAGTCATCTCTGACTAGTGGTGGTTATCCATTCCACAAGAAAAGATCTGAAACCATTAAGTCTTTCTCAATAAATCGGATTGGAATTGACAAATACAACTATAAATACAAGCACTTTATTTCTATATAGTACAGGCATGGTCAAGGCACTTTAAAGGTCAAAATTAAGTAGGTTTACGATGGAGGGAAGAAAATTTTACTCTAGGCAGCCATATAAAGACTATCCAGTAGAGTAATGGCCGTTTAACAACTCCAAACTAAACATTTTCCTAAACTTATTGATTCTTGCCAATTATTAAAGCACATACGGTGGATGAGTTGAAGTTGATCTCTCTTTCCTAGTTTCTCTTAATTCATATCCCTCTTCTTCATTTCACTTCCCTTTTTTGATGACTGGTTGCTTTTTGTATTCACTGTATTACCGTGGAATGTCACTTTTCGCCATAATTTTACAACTGTTCGTGCAGTCATGACCAGAGTAGAAACAAAAACAGTTTGCCGTTACTGGTCGGCTTTTAATAAATTCGTAGCTGGTTTCAAGCGTTATGGTGAAATCCTACTTTCTTATTTCGTCATTACAACTATAAACCACTCTAAAAGCTAAGCAATGATTCCTTAAATTTGAACCAGAATTCCAATAAAATCTATATTTAAACGACATGGTTACAGGAATTTGAACTTTCTAAAGGTTGGTTTTATTAATAATCACTGGAAATAGAGAAGTACTAGACCGCTATACAAGTTCTAGCTTGGTGTTACTAGACAGTGTACATTTTCTATCCTTCACTGGAGTGGTATTCATACTGTCAAGTTTGCGATGAGCATATTTACAATTCATCTACTGGTTTTTAATAGTCCTCTGCATGATATTAATTTATGAATCAACCTACGTTGAAAAGAAAACATTTTTTAAAAACTACAACAGAGACTTGATAAAGTCTACTTTTATGTGAGTTTTGTACCTGAAAGACCATCAAATGATTCTATACAAAATCCAGATTAGTGTTATTTTTAAGATCTGTAGTACTAAATACAAAGATGAAATCTAAGTCTATGAGGAAACTTTCTTCTTCTTTTACCTTACAAACTTGGTTTTATTCAACAACTAGAACACATCTTAATATTCAGCAAGACAATCTCCAGGTTAAGTTTATCTGTGATCGTAAGATAAAAAAAATACATTTACTATCCACACTTCAAGGGCATTAATCTTCGTAAAATATAAAACTGTAAGGGTTAATCAATGTGTCAAGAGTCTAACCATTTCGATTCACTTAATAATACAGGATTTACTTCACATACAAACTGATTAACTTTCATTGTTTAATAAAAAGTTGTTTAAAGTGGATCAATCTTCTGATAGTATAGTTAAGAAAGCTATTGAAACAACCAACGAAACACCTAAGTGCACAATAAATGAATCAAAATAAAGAACAAAATCACTTACTCTGTCCTTAGCTAAGCCTTTGCCTAAAAGTTGTACACTTTTTATATCCGCTTTACTCTTCTTCGCTCCTCGATCCTTTTTTCTACGTTTAAATACGCATCGTTTGCAGATACAGAACAATATTAACAGGACAAACAGGATCATGCCAATAACCATGGCAACTACCGCACCTGTGGGAACTAGAAGGAGAAAGTAAACAAAAAAGTATTTGGTAAAATTTCCATTAAATGTATGGAATATATTGAATAAATGAACAGACTTATTATTATTCCCTTGAGTTTCGAGTGGAACAAAGGACTCCAACAACACATCTCCACTTTTTTCTATCTTCTGTCTTTCTCTTTAACTGGGTCTACAATTCCCGTTATCTCCCATTTCCTTCTTGTCACCTTAGGACGACCCACTCGTTGCTCCCCATTTGGACTTCACTCGAGTGCCTAGCGCGCGAAGTCATGTGACAATCCTATCAATGTATGCCCTATCCATTTTCATCAGCTCTTGGTTGGTTTGTTCCCAGTCAGAGTTTCTTGGTGCTAATTCTTTCTGGCTGGCTAGCCACTTGATCTTCAGTCTGGAGATAGCGAAGACAGCTGTTGATAAAAGTCTGTAACTTGTTGGAAATCCTTTTCGTGACACGCTGGCCAAGTTTCTGACCCGTATAAAAGAACTGATTTCACATTTGTTTTGAAAATTCGATTCTTATCCTTTATACTGAGGCCCTCGAGTGGAACCCGAAAGGGAAGCGGCGTGTGGGACGTCCAAGGGTGACTTGGAGGAGATCGTGTGAAGAGGAGTTGAAAGAGTATGGACTAACATAGATGCAGGTGAAAAGTACAGCAGAAAACAGAAGCAAGTGGAGACGTGGAGTTGAAGCCCTATGTTCCACTAGGAACCCAAGGGAACCACTATATAATAATACTGAGGAGTGCAGAAGATTTCCAAACTGGTTTCACATTGATGAAGGCGTATCTTGCCCTTCCGATTGTGGCTGGTCTTGACATCTCCATCCGTTACGCCACCCGTAGTTGAAACTGTGCTTCCTAGATGAATGAAGGAGGTAACCTCTGTCAGATCTTTCCCGTTGATTGTGATTGGCGCTGGTTGTTGTTGCTATTGTTGTTGGTTGATTATCTTCATCACTTCTGTCTTTTATATGTTCACCTGTCTTCACAGCCTGCTTCTTCAGCCAGTTTGTCACTTTTCGCCTGTAATTTTTCGAGTTTGCGTGACATTACACATATATCATCTGCGAAATTCAGATCTTCTAGAGTCTTCCTACCGATCTAGCATATTCTTGTCTTCTCGTTCCCACTCACCGTCTGACGCATAATCCAGTCCACCGCAATTAATCATATGAAAATGAACTGATACCGAAGGTTAATTTCGCAGTGTATAAAAAAGTGTAATGTAGTGAATATCGGTGACAGATGCACGTATTTATAAATTAGAAAAATCAAGACAGTATTTTCTACCCGAATGTCAGTAGGACTGGTGAATAACTCAGAGTTGTAAATGTCTCCCATTTATCCAAAGTGAGAAAACCTTAAAGGTGACAGTGGTTACTTCATAAAACGTGGGTATAAGTTTGCCTACAAAAGATTAAGATGTGTCTGTCCAGTACATTTTATATTGTCTGAAATAAAGTTTACCTTCAGAAATGTCAGTTGAGTTAAACCCACTTGAGTAACTCAATTCAGTCTTGTCTGCTAAACCCGTATTCAGATAATGTATTATTTTCAGCTGTGACAGGCGTTATATGATTCATCGCATAACGTACTACCGCACGACTGACCTTCGAAATACTCTTTCCTCCACTAAAGGACGATTTCCACAACACTTTTTGAATTGGAGATAAGCAACAACAATCACTATTTGATTCTAAGAGCTCCGTAGTTTTCTTAACGATATATTTATCACTTAAAAGTATTCATTAATAGATAATTGTCATTTTACATAGCAAATTCTCTTAAAAATATAGTAAATTTATCTTTTACGAGAACCGAAAGTTGTTCATAGCAGACATTAAATCTCTTTTCTGCCACATTCAACAAGTCGACGGTTATGTGGATATTTCAGAAGCAGAATCCTGTGGAAGACATTTCCAATTGACATGCTAGTTAGTTGAACAAATAAGAGTTCCTGGATGTGGATAAATCATTTTTATTGGACTATATTCCCCAAAATTCCACCGTCCTTTACTGTAGAGAAGGTATTTTTCAGCTTTACACAACAGTAAGCAGCATGTATTCACAATGTACCCTTCAGATTGTATATAATTTTAAAGTGTTGATACACATGGCTATATATATATATATATGAATTTCTATTTAAAAATAGATAACGTCTCAACTCACCATGCATTTTCACTGCCAGTTCTTTGATAAAATCATCCATTTTCTGTTTAAATTCTTCACCGGACCCTTCAACTGCAACGTGGTCTCCCGGGTCTACTTCATGATGTGTTTGATGGATCGTCGGTGCTTCTGACTCCATCCTGAAGATTAAAATTTTGAAAAAATCAAATCATTGATTGTATGTTTTATGAAGTAGTGTCATCTTCCCACTAATTTCATGGGAAGACGAATCATTTCAACAATTCAGAGTATCAATAAACTATATTCATTGAATCTCGTAGGTTTTATGAAGATTACAATAGACTTTTTGAACTTAATGTCGACTGTTCGAATGCTGACCAATAAATAGAAAATTGTATTCTGCAAAGCATAAGTATTTCTAACATCATTTCTCGATTTAGTGTAAACTTTGAATTTTATACTCAAGAGAATGTACACTATAGAAGTCAGTAAGTTCTAAGTTTTGTGGACATTTGGAGCTGGTATGTGATATTCTATCCACAGGGGATTTCCAATTTCATTGAGATAGCTGACACTGTTTTTATTAACCAGTAGTCATGCTATGAAAACGAGTAGAAAAATTAAATGGTGAACTGTTGTGTTTCAGAACCAGTTTCTTACTTTTCCTAAATAAGGTACCCATGCTGTTCTTATATTTTGACCATAATGACAACACATAGGCATAGTACCATTCTGTGTTAAGCTGTAAACTTTTACCACATAGTGAGACTGAAAATTTGATGCATTTGTTTTCACTTTTAAAGGCTCAGTCAATCAATTCTATGATACATCGTGGATACTGGATACCGCACTGACCCTTTAGGGTTATATACGACTTTCCTAAGTCATTATCACGCACACTTCGTCTACGTCTTCTACATGCAGCTGAAACATCTTGTAGCAAGATCTACTAAATAGGAACATTGTATTCAGGTAGAACACTTCCAAGTAATGTTCCTACCTTGGCCAAACTTGGATTAGAATTTCTTCTTCCTTCCAAGAGTGGATCTTCCTATTATCCTTTTTTATCTTTTGCTTTGCCTTTTATGATTTATTGCGGTAAGAATAATTATTATTATTATTTATTATTATTTATACTCTTCAATCTAGCATTCTTTCAGTACTATCGAGTTTTCTATTTATAGTACTCCGATTTATTTTTAGTGGTGTTATTTCTTTTCTCAAAATATGCCTCCATCTGTTTCATTTAACATATGGATTATTTCATGATGTACTATTCACTGCAGTCTTACTATCTCTTCATTTAATGCATAATATTTAGTCCTAGCCACTCACCTGACACCATTTACAACCTTGCGCTGACTTGCCATTTTCCCTCCCCCACATTGTACTTATCTATTTTGACTGGTAATCATCGTCGTCTAGCATTTCACAATATTTTGTAATTACATTCACCCCTGCATGTTTGTCATTCAAATATTGCTTATTCTGTCCCACCCTATAACTAATCTGTCACTCTTTGTAAAAATACATCCGACGCATAACCGGATGTTATTGTAACGATAAATATTGTATTTTGAAATTGTAAGAACTTGAGGAGAATTTACTTTTTTCCGTCCAGATTGAAAATTATAATATTTGATCAAATGGAGGATATGAGAAAAGTATCGTTAATATTTATTTCAAGTCTTTTCAGATTGATTTCTATCCTAAGGCAGAACTACTTTCTGAAGACTATGACACCTAAAAAGTGAATTACTGTTAAAAACCTGTCAACAGTCATGTTATTAAGAGTTTGTGTGTCGGGAGTTTATTTATAATCACAACAAGATGTTTTTGAGCGAACAATTGTTCCCGAAAACTTCCTCCTCAGGCACAACAGATATAATAAATCCATCAATATTACAACACAAATAACCAGTAAAACCAGGTGAGAATCATATCATCACAATGTGTACTCGCGTACACATATAAGGTGGTGGGATAACAGTCCGTTAGTTAATCTATTTTCAATCGAGTATATGTACAATGTATACTTATTGAGAACATAGAATGAAATGTGAGTAGACAATTGAGTGGCATACTAATGTATCCATAGTCAACACTGAATGTGCATTCAATGTGCTTCATATTGTTCGCATGTGTTTAGTGGGGTTCATATTTCTCTTACACCATTGAATATCTTACCAATCCTAAAGGAAATTTGTATTCTGTTGACTATGAATACATCAGTATGCCACTCAGTTGTCTACTCACATTTCATTCTATGTTCTCGATGAGTATACATTGCACATATACGCGATTGACAATATATTAACTGATGGACTGTTATCTCACCACCTTATATGTGTACTCAAGTACACATTGTGATGATATGGTTCTCACCTGGTTTTACTGGTTATTTGTATTCTAATGTTGATGGATTTATATCTGTTGTGCATGAGGAGGAAGTTTTCGAGAACAATTATTCGCTCAGATACATCTTGTTTCGGTAACACGATGGGGATCTTTATTTCATCAATTTATACTCTAAATAGAGCTAAACACAAGTACATTTTCGTGATACGAACACCAACTTTGTGGGTTTACACTCAGTCAGAATATAATTAGAATTAAATCAGTTTAGATATCAAGAGAAAGAGTAGAAGGACAGTCAATTCATAGGTCTTGGTGTCTTGGTGTGATACAGACAACGTGTGCCAACAGAATATTAATCTCTCATATTCCCACAGTTCAATAAGACATCAACAACAATATACGATATATCTATTTAAACATTCTATTACTTTTCTCACGGTTATATATTGCATTAACAAGAGAATACTATGCATATTTGAACATTTTATTTCATTTCGTTTGACGTAAACCAAAATCACACGTTCAGTGATTGGTTAAAGAATATAAACTGTCTATATATAAACGGCTGTTTTATTAATGAAAGTTTACCTTAGCTTACTAATCGAAATACTAGCTATTACTATAGTTTGGTTTGTAAGGGTTAGTTATGTTTTTACGAGTGGGTGCGTACTGCCGATGATTCCCAAACTAGGATGAAACAGCAGCTGTCCAGTACTCCCTGGTTTTCAATGGTTCTCTATCTGATATCAATCCGTGATCAACTCGTACTAGCTATTATTCTGGTGCAGGTAGGGAAATTTAAACCTTCCAACTGGAATCTGAAATTATTTGTTTTAGACTCAATTTCAATGGACCCGTTGATTGATTGGACCGAATTTTTCGGCGTTTAAAACAATGGGTACTGGGTTCGAGTGTCACTAGAGGAACGCCACCCCCCCCTCCACTGGGGAATGCTGGTACATTCAACTGACAAGTCCCAAACAAGACGTAATGTGCTTGCTGCATCCCGCAGTTAATCACCATGCAGCAAATTACTACTTCATAGACTCCACAATATCGTTCTCTGCTCAGTGTTTTTAAGGCTATTGTCGTAGTCAGCACTCATAGGGAAAATTAGTTCATTAGTTAACTTTTTAAGAATCTTGGATACCACTTTTTGATTCAGGTAACTGTTTACTATTTTACCATTTATTAACGCTTATGGTCTCAGTGGTTACTTTCGACTGAGGTGTCCTAGACTTTAGTGAAGAACCGATTCTACACTGTGTAAACCGCTACAGTAAACTCACAAATGTAGAAATGTAGAAAAAATTATATGCACACAGTTCCAGACGCTGATTTAGCAATCAACTTAAAAAATATTGATGATGAAAGAAGGAAATGAATAGTAGGGAAAGATAAACAGTTTTTTCTATTCTGCGCATATAAACAATTGCTCTGATAAAAAAGACACTCATAACATATGGATGATTATCAGCGATATAAAGGTTTCATATAATAATTCACCAAACTATATATCTTGACATCACAAGATGCTTAGATAAAACAGATAAGTACTCAATGCAAACAATACTGTTGATTAGTATACATATTGGTATTCAGAAGATAAGCATAGATATTTTTAAAGACAATCCTATTATTATTATTATTCTTGCATGCATGGTAATGGAAATTAAATAAATCCTTAGAAGTAGCATAGTTACTCAGGGATAAAAGTGAATTCAACAAGATACTCTTGAAACTGGTAAATTACAACCCAGTGACTTTTGCAATTTCGTTCAAGAACAGAAACCTGTAACTAATTAAAATAAAATGGACAATTATTTCCAAGATATAGTCAGGAAAACAAAAAGCACTGATGCCAACAGTGACAGATAACAACGGAAACGGAAATCATAAGCACTGGCCTAAAGAAATTGGAGTAAGGTGTCGTGAACTTTAGAGATGAAAGTTGTTTCTACATGTCTATTTTTGAGTTATTTCAATTGGTAGACATCAGTCATGAAAATACAATCACATCTAAACGATTAGAATCAACAGTGAAAAACCTCATGAAACGGTATCACACCTGAGAATGATCAGTCTGAAGCTTATGCCATTTTGTTATTATCAGATTGGAATACTTTTATGAGTGTGTACTAATTACTTCAATCTATGAAGATACACAACTTTACTAACCAGAATGCTAAACTTAGTGTTCATACTGTTCACCTGTTGATTGTAGCCACGTTCATCAGTTGGTGTTATTTCCTATTGTTAGATAGAGTATCGGTTTGAGTTAGCTACTAAATAAATATTCATATTTGAATGAAGAAAAACATATTCATACAAACCATACGTTATCATTCAGTGTCATTTGTACCTTACATTCATGTCAACTATATATTTAACAAGAAGAAAAATTCGACTGTATACTTGATTGTCAGGTCTTAAGATTATTTAAAAACCTCAGTCTTAACTTGTCTTTTTAATAGAATTCAAAACAAAAAATATGTAGTTAGATAAAATCATTTACGGTGAAATCGTAACAACAGAAAACGAGAGACGAAAGCCAAAGCATAATTTTGATTAATCAAACTGCTGTTTATATATGCACAGTTTATATTCTTTAATCAATCACCGGGCATGTAATTTCTGTTTACATCAAACGACATGAAACTGAATGTTCAAGTCTATATAGTATTCTCTTGTTAATACAGTATATAACTGTGGGAAAGTATTCTGTCTCTAACATCAAACAGAATGTTCAAATAGATCCATAGTATACTGTTGCTAATGTCGTATTGAACTGTGGGGATATATGAGAATAATAATCCGTCAG